CACTACTGAAATCCCCCTCGGTTTAGGTTATACCAATATCAATGACTGTATATTTATAAGTATTTTTTAATTAAAAGGCAACACCTCCCCCACGCCCATCCCTATCTTTTCTTACTATGTTATAATCTAAAATGGTTGAACCTACATCTTTTACATCTGATGACAGCCACGTTTAAGATAAACCGACTACATATAATATATCAAAGCTATTCTCCCTCAGCAATTCGCTAAACAGATGAAATCCAGCGCGCAAAGATCGCACATTCAGATGACAAATGTAATTGTATAGTCTTCAATTCTGCACCATTCTCAGTCCTTCTAATTTCTAAACCCAAAAAATGAGAAGCTGGTTTGATGGTAATTTTAAATAGGTTATTTTCTTTGTAAACTTTCTAAGAAGGAATTCTTCAGTTTGTCGTTGATTGACCCCAGGGCCCGTATTCTCTTCACCGGGGAACAGAGTTCTCCCAAGACAACGATTGCTCTGTCTTAGTCACCCATATTGTTATGTCCATAATATTGACAAAGACAGAGAACGCTGTTCCCCGGTTACGAGAGTACGGGCCCAGGAGTCCATCATCTACATATAATAAATAGTACAAGTATGTCTTCTTCAACTTTCATTATAAAGAAACAGGAGTTGGTCTCTGATCTTCTAAAACCAAGAACTTCTATGTAATCGCTACATTTTTGGTTTTAACATCTAGGCGTTGTTTTCGTTATTGAAGACTGTGCTGGAGTTTACAGACCATGTCCTTCATCTTCATACCCCTCTGGTTGCTTCATAAGAACTTTTTTAGTTTTTCATAGAGAAATGCAGTACATATATCCAACTGAGTGAGTGTCATATTCTTGCTAGCAGCAATACTGAGCAGTATCTTATTGTTCCTCCCTTGGCTACAGGACTGTAAGTCTGGTCGTAATTTTCACCTTTTTTTTTGTGAATAAACTTTGATAACTAGCCAAGCTTTCTACTTTTCAATGGACCCATCTGGATTGGTTCTCACTATATGCCCACTTACATGGTACTGCCTTCTTTGCTGGTGGTAACCTCTTAACCTCCCAAGTACAATTTTCTTGTAGTGACTGTATGTCTTTATTTATTGCCAAAACCAATTGTCTTTATCATTGCAAGTAATAGCATCTTTGTAGCTTAGTGGCTCCTGTGGTTCGCTTATTTCTGCAGCAACTGTCATAACGAACAGGTTTGTTTCGCTCTGTTCTCTCTCTCTCAGTTGCTTTCTTATTTCAGGTTGATCTAGGTCTTCTTGTACTGTTCTATGCTCATTTTCTGTCGGATCTGTCATTTCCAGACTTGTATCTGTTCGGTCTGGTATCTCCAAATGTGGATTAGTTTGATCTCGATCTGGTATTCTTCGGAGAACTGTTCTTTTTGTTCTATTTAATCTTTAGGTTCATTATTTGATGAATTCTGTAACTCTTGTTCACTTATAACAAGTTTCATTGGTTTATAAGCAAGGAAACATGTTTCACACGGTTTACGGCAGAGGGGTTGATTAGGATCAAAATTACCCTCTTTTATACCTTTGAACCTTTGGGACTGAAACTAGTAATCCCGCGAAATTTTTTACTTCAAGGTTATTAATCTCAGTGACTTCTTTTTGTATGAAAACGACACCAAATTCGGCATAATTAATAGTTATTTATGTATCAAGGAAATTATGAGGGTGTTAAGACCCCAGGGCAAAGTTTGTGGCCTTCGGCCCGAGGGACACCAATTGCCCGTGGGTATTAACACCTGACAATTCCCGTGGTACATAGATAATTTTATTTCCTACTGAATTTACTGTATTTTGTCCATTTTTATAAAGGAATAAACCACAAAGCAAAATTTCTATTTTTTGTCAAAATTTCACCTATTCAAGGTAAAAACGAGAGTTATGGAAATCCTTAACTCCCTTAGGAGTTATTATATCCTTAACTCCCTTGGGAGTTAAGACCCTGTTTATGATTATCGTAACCAAGGTATTATCTGGTTATAATAGTTCAGTAGGAAATAAAATGATTTATTTAAATTTTTTATTTATTTCTTTAAAGGCCGTCTTTGAACCCACGAGGCACTAGACCTGCAGAGCGGCATACTTTCTGCAAGAAAAGCTACTTTTTCTTGCGTACCGCTTGTACTAATTGTCTTAAATATCTTGGACCTGCTAAGTTGGCAATGAGATTACGAAATTATCGACTTTGAAATGCAAATGGACAAAATCTACTAGTTATTTTTAATGCGATGGGAAATTCTTACCCATAATATATCGACTTTAATGGTCGTGCATGATTATTTTAGGCCTACTTCTTTAATTGGAATCAATTTTTTGACAATTTTTTGCTTGGCTACATTATTTTCATCCCGTTCAACCCCTTCAACTTAATTATCACCTAATTCAATTTTTTCTAGTGTCGAGGAAGATGGTGATAATGAAAATCTGAAAGACGAACAAAGTGATTTAAGCAAACGTAGAGAGTCATTCGCAATGAGAGGAAAATCAAATTGCAATGTGGATTCTCACGACGACAGTGCCAACGCAAAGAAAAAATCAATCGAAGAAAAAAATTGCCATCAAGACGCGTTAACAGTTGCATCGAATAAAAGGTAAATTACTGGCTATTATTGCAAAAAAAAAACAAACTTATGCAACAATTTTCAGATCCCATGAAGATAAAGATTACAGTCCGGAAGAAGACAGCGAACGATACAAAGAGGGACATCAAAAACCGAATACCAACCAAGTGAAAACCTACAACCGTGTCATGTCCAACCACAGATCGGTTACAAAACCGAAAGACGTGAAGTATAAGAGGATAAATAAAGCCAAGTCGAAAAGTCTAGAAGAACTACGAGGAAGGTTAAAGAATTGGGTAGAACAAGGTAGTAAAATACCGGGGGGAATTCCTTTGGAGCATAGTCAGAGTTATGCTTGATGCTAAACCTGCGTATGTATTTTTCTTTAATTGTGATGTTTAATTAAAAAACACATTAAATTTTGTGGTATACTTACCTAATTTAATGCGATTTTGTCATTTTAAAATAGTAGTCAATAAGTTTTGTCAATTTTTTGAAAAAATATAATATCATATTATTACCTATTTAAACATATCCAAGGATCGCTTTTGACAATAGAATAGAAAAAAACTGCTTAAAGCTAAATGTAAATAATTTTAATTGTTACCAAATAAGTCCTAAACTAATTGTTATTGATGACAATCAATGTGTTATAGGCTTAAGATAAGGGAATATTGTACATTAAAAACGAGATAATAAAGCACCGCATTCTAAATATTACAAAACGAACACAGTGGATTTTTTTTAGAGTGTTCAGGCTAGAATAAAAGTTCTATAGTGTAGGTACTAACTATTCCTTGACGATATAAAAAAAAGTCTTGCCTCCTGCATTATATTTTCGATACTTACATCTGGCATACTGACTGAAAATTGTAAAATGAGTCTGACTAGGAAATACAGTGGTCAGTAGTTGGCTCGATTTCTAACTAAACTGTTTCACAATACATAATTGTGTTTCTCCTCGAACGTCCTTTTTATCATTTTATTGAAAAAAATGCTGTAATCGTTTTGAATCACTCTATGAATATCAATATAGCTTACCATAATGTGGAGTTATTTCTAATCGTAAGTGGCCTAAAATAATAATTATTGTAAATTGGTGTTTAATTCTTTCTATGGAGTAATTTATGGTTCCTTTTAGTTTTAGTTATGTTTTTGAATTATTATATAAATAATTTTTCAGCTTTCATTGTAAATAAAATTATATAGTGGCTATTGATTGTCTTATAAGCAGAAGTCAAAGCTGTGTCAAGAGTTCATTATAAAATGTAAGTTAACTATGGATTTAACCAAAGCTCTATATAAAATGATATTTTTGCGTCCCAAAATTATGATGGTGGACTTTAAATTGCTAGCGTAACAATTATTGCTATTTATGCGTAATAAAAATTTGTCGAAATGAAAATATTGTTTTTTTTTCTACTAATACAGTGTCTTTGAATATACAGTTACAGGGTGACAATTTGAAAAAAATAAGTTAGGGTAGCTACCCCCTAATAGACCTACGGCCGAGAAGTAAATAAGTTACCTCATCGGGTACAAAAGGTTTGAGTTTCGACTACATCAGACTTAAAACAAAATAATATTACCTACCTAATAAAAATATGGCACGAGCTGAAAAGCTAGCAAAGCATGTTAAGGACACTTTCAGCAAAATAAAGGAAAAAATGACAAAATAATATTTGAGAAATAGTGATTATCAAAATTCCTTTTAAATTTTTTTGGGTAAGTATCTAATTAATTTCTATTGTTCATCATCAGAAGAATCATGCATCATCTCTTCAATTTCATCGCCTATATCGTCGGTATCGGGTATAAAAATAAGATAGAAACGACAATTTTAAACAATCCTTGATCAAATTTTTATGTTAGTTTTGAAAAAATGATATGTTTGTTGAAATTGTAAGTACCTAATATATGCCAACTGCAATGACGATTGTTACAAATTTACTGTTGTCGAAGGACACTGACATACTAATTATTCTGCTAGGGAATCTACACAAAATTAATAAAAACGCCAATGTATGGATGGAGGTTGGAGTTGCATCTAAAAATACTTGTAGATTTGTTGACGTAAGTGCAATCTCTAATAAATTGGGATCTAGTATGTGCAAATGATCTCTACCAGCTTTTCATGCTTTTACTGGATGTGATTATACCGCATCCTTTTCCAGAAAATGCAAGCTCAAGCCGTTTGGTGAAAAGAAGGACCAGAAACTATTTGGTACATTTGGCTATAATGCTGGCATTCCGAAAGAGTAAATTGAATCTATAGAAAGGTTTATCTGTGCAAGGTACGAAAAACCCAATTTGTGCAATATCAATGATGCTCGATTCGATATTTTTTACGATCATTGTAACCCCAATCCAAATCAAAGTCCGTTCAAGAATCTTAACACGTTTTTGCATGGTGGTAACATCGTATCAAAATCAGGTACATCGTTCTATCAAAAAAGATACTAGATCCCAATTTATTGAAGATCAAATCAAATCAAAATATGCTTTATTGTTACGCAGAACATCATCAGTTCTCAAGAACAAAGCTGTATATACCGGGTGTTTTTCAAAACCCGCTCACCCCTATAACTTTTTTATTTTTCCAGATAAACAAATGAAATTTGGTGTGTTTATTTATGACCCGGATGTGCATTATTTGACGTATTTAATTTTTTACTATCACTTCCGGTTTGACCGGAAGTGACCCTAACTTTCTTATTTTAAATGAGACGCTAGGTATATTTTTCCTCATTTTAATAGAAAACTACATGACGAGTACAATGACACCTCATTTGTCACTTTTTGACATTTCACCTCCAAATTATTTAAATTTTTACTTTTAAATCTAGAGCACCATGAATGAGTCAAAATGCTTAATTTTGCTCCTAGGAACATGGGAAAATTTGTTTTGATCTTATTTTGTATTTTATATCCTCTAAAGACTCATTTAAAGATAGTAGAAGCGCATTTTTAGAATTATATCAGTTTTTTCAAACGGAAAGGGTATGGCTAATGAGCATGTTCCAAAAGAGCGTTTTCTAACGAGCAATTCAGTACCACACAATTTTCTAGCATTCTAAATATTTTTGGAAAATTTTAGTTCAATATTGGAATGAACTAGCGATTTTGTGGTACTGAATTGTTTGTTAGAAAATGCTCTCTCGAAATATGCTAATGAGCCATACCCTTTCCATTTGAAAAAATTGATATAATTCCAAAAATGCGCTGCTACTAACTTTAAATGAGCCTTTAGAGAATATAAAATTCAAGATAAGCTCAAAACAAATTTTCCCATGTTTCTAGGAGCAAAATTAAGCATTTTAACTTATTCATGGCGCTCTAGATTAAAAAGTAAAAATTTAAATAATTTGTAGGTGAAATGTCAAAAAGTGACAAATGAGGTGTTATTGTACTCGTGATGTAGTTTTCTATTGAAATGAGGAAAAATTTACCTGGCGTCTCATTTAAAATAAGGGAGTTAGGGTCACTTCCGGTCAAACCGGAAGTGATAGTAGAAAAATTGAATACGTCAAATAATGCACATCCGGGTCGTAAAAAAACACACCAAATTTCATTTGTTTATTTGAAAAAATAAAAAAGGTAAAGTTTGTTTCGCCAGGGTTTGTACTTGCCACCAGCATTTGCCTTCCTTGTTTAACAAATAAAAATTGACTGAAACAAATCAAAGACGTCAAAAACGTTCGTCGGTTCTTAAACCAGAAGTCATTCATTTTAAATTGTCAAAAAATTGAATGTGTCATATAAATTAATCTACGACAACCCTTTTTTTTCAAGTTTCAAGGTCAAGTATGAACCCTGGTGAAACGAACCTTATAGGGGTGAGCGGGTTTTGAAAAACACCTGGTATAAAAGAAAAGATATCAATTAAAGCAGTAAAACATACACATATGCATACATAATTTAATTCGAGATTTAACCAAAGACAAAACTTACATCTATAGAAATACAATTAAAATTTACGAATACGTACCTACAATAGAAATGTCTTTATAAAAGCTGAAAAGTGCAAAACAGACATACTTGATACAAAATCGTTAACAAAAAAGTTGTAACCCAGCCACATATTGAATATTACATGCAGTTTAAAAAATTTCACTGTAAAGTACTCTTCCAAGGTGTAGTATGCTTTAGATTGTAGTAAACGTTTTACAGATCGTGAGAATATTTTTATCATTGTTGATATTTCATATTTCTGAAATCTTGTGGTAAGTGATTATAAACTTTTAGTCCCTCATATAGGTATCAGTGAGTTCCTAATCATAATGAACTCTTTGGGAAAGGTAGCCGCAGTTCATTCTTTCTGCAAGTCTCATATTTAGAGCTATCTTGAACATTTTTATATTTTTTATGTACCTATACAGGGTGTCCCACGGTGGATGGCGTATTAGACGTTTATGGAGAACTAAAAAGCGGATCATTTTGAAAATTTGGCAACCGGGATAAACGACCATGATCTACACTTTAAAAATATTTTTGACCATGCGGTGTTACCGCTTCTACTCTAAACTAGTGGCAACATCGCTATTTTAAATAGAACACCCTGTATGTGATTGCATATTTGGATTCTACGTAAAATTCTGAGCAGATTTCATGTGATATACCCTATATCTAAGTTCAACTGTTTCGGAAATATTGACAGTTGAAAATTGACTTTTTGCAACTTTGACAGGCTGTAAAACCTAATTGGTTAATTTTAGAGGATTTCACATTCCTGTCTTAGATTTTGATAAACTATCATTTGACACCAACTTTGAACTTGACCGGAGATTAAATTTAACTGGAATTTTTAATCATGGATTTAATTCAAAGTTGGTGTCAAATGATAGTTTATAAAAATCTGAGATAGGAATGTAAAATCGGTCTTCCTCTAAAATTAACCGTTCAGGTTTTACAGCCTGTCAAAGTTGCAAAAAGTCAATTTTCAACTGTCAATATTTCCAAAACAGTTGAACTTAGGTATAGGGTATATCACATGAAATCTGCTCAGAATTTTACGTAGAATCCAAATATGTAATCACATATGGGGTGTTCCATTTAAAATAGTGATGTTGCCACTAGTTTAGAGTAGAAGCGGCAACACCGTATGGTCAAAAATATTTTTAAAGTGTAGATCATGGTCGTTTATCCCGGTTGCCAAATTTTCAAAATGATCCGCTTTTTAGTTCTCCATAAACGTCTAATGCGCCATCCGCCGTGGGACACCCTGTATACCTACCTATTAATTAATTGTGAATTGCTCACATTTAAGATATTTTTGTCCATAGTAGACATAGGCAAGGATGATACACACTACTACTACAGATGTGTAACAAATCCCCCTCTACCCCCCCAACCCAGGCCAAACAACCAGGTATGACGTAAGCAGCATGGCGTTTCTCGCCTTGACGTAGGCTGTTTAACTAGCTGACGACTAGTTATTACGTCGGCAATGGTTGAAAACACTTGAAAACCAATATGGCGGCGATTACCAAAAACAAGGCCGATAAGCACTCCTTAGAGTGTGTATTCTCCTTGAGACATAGGTAGGTCCTTAGAGCAGGTAATAAAGGTAAAGAGGAGTAGTAACCTGGAATTGGAAAATGAAGCCGTTTTTTTCCAGGTATTTTGGCACCAAAAAAATGGCGGTATAGGCAATTTAATGCTTTACCTGTATTTTGGTGCGAAACACCTGCTAAAAACTTGGCTTCACTTGTTTCATAAAGGCAAAATGGCGCGTTCCTACTCCTTATGTCCGTAGGACAGCGCTTTACCTGCTCTAAGGGTAGGTCAGATTTAACGGCACTGGCAAAAATATTGAAAAATCAACAATTAGAAACACAAAACAAGTCAAAAAACCTATACCTAAACTCAAATCGAATTTAAAATAACATTTTTCTAACCGTTCGTTTTCAAGTGGCTTTTCAGTGATATCATCACTTGACATACCGCCCCTAACCGTTTTGTAACCCGGTTAGCTTAAACCGGAGCGACGTGAAAAGGTGTAGTAGTGTGTTTTTTTTTTAAAGATTAAAGTCAAATTGACAATGTTGGCAATAGTTGTATTCCTTTCACACCTAGGAGGAGCTCCTGAACAGCTCCGGGGCTTCACGCGCTTATTCCTTTCGAAAAGTGTTTGTTGCACCACGCATCTGTTCCCTGCAAATCGGGGGCTTCGAAGCACCGAAGCGAGTAGCTCGAGTGTTTCAAACTCTTGAAAGGAATACAACTAATACAATGTAAAATTGTCAATGCTTTTAAATTTTTTATGTAGAAAAGGCTTGTGTTGCCAACATAGTTACTAAATTTTTGACTTGGGGAATTATCTTTAAAAAAAAAACAGACTTTATGTTTGGTTTAAAGATGACACGACTTAGGGCGGGTATTATAAAACTGCTTTGACTGTTAACTTGAAGTTAACTTTTTGAATTACATGTCATTCCAGAAGTTAACTTTAAGTTAACTCTCAAAGTAGTTTTATAATACCCGCCCTTAACTCTTTTTGTAATTTTTGAGGTGATAAAAAAGGTCGATTTCCACAATACAACACAATAGGAAAAGGCGTACCAGTTGCACGTTTGGCCAAGTGTACGGTAATATAATTTTCCGTACGTTAAGTTAAGCAATAAAGCCTAGTCTCCATGGACGCGAAATCGCGAATTTTTTTTTGCGGATATTTTCCGATTGGTTGGAATTTGACATTTAACATTTGATTTTTTTATGGCGGGAAAAATTCGCGAATTTTTTAACTTCTTGCGGCGTCGCAAAAAAGTTAACTAATTTTTAACTTTCAGCGAAATTTCGCCAAAAAAAAATGAGGTTATGTGGTGTTACTTTCAGTTTAGTTTTGTTTATGTTTTTGTCGGTATGTGCTCTGTCCTCTGTGAGTCGTTGATGTGTTTTGTACTTGTAGATACCTAATAAAGAATGGATACTGCCAAAGAATTGAATATTGTAGACCCGAAAACAGACATAAATTACAGCTTGCTGGTCGATGACGAAGATTATAATAGGGCCTTAAATGTAATTAAGACAACACCAAGACACATATCTTTTTTTGTTTTTTAGTAATCACTCTCATGGTTTTCAAAGATTAGTGTTTGAAATTCAAAGCATTTAAATCGAATTCAAATTGATTACAAACAATAACACATAACCTTAACCTGTTAAATAAAACGCGAATTTCGCGCTTATGGAGACATGGGAATAATTTGCTCGGAAATAGCCATTGGGAAATAGCCACCAAAAAATGACACTTAAAAAATTCGCTTTCCGCGATTTCGCATCTATGGAGACTAGGCTTAAGCTACAAATAAGAACAGCTCCGGAGCGCGAAAGCTGAGACGAACGGGCCAAAGCGCGGACGAAGTACTTTGGAGTAACTCTGGAGTGCTCAAACTGTGACACCTGAAAGCGGCTCATGATTTCAAAAATCGAGGCCGATGAGCAATTCCTGTAGTAACGTGTATTATCCTTGGGTCACGGTCACAACTACTGTCTATAGTTGTATTCCTTTCACACCTATGAGGAGCTCCGGAACAGCTCCAGGGCGTTACGCTCTTATTCATTTCGTAAAGTGTTTGTTGCACCTGAGTGCTCAAGCCCGAAGTAAACCATTTAAATGCACGAAATTCAGCGCATCTGTTCCTTTCAAATCGGGGCGACTAGCACCGGAGCGAGTAGCTTTAAGCTACATCCTCAATCAATCTGCTAGCGAAGTGGCACTTTGGCACGCGTGCTGGGAAATTGATACCCATCCTCAATGCTGTCAATTTTCAGTCTGCTGTGCGTGTAGTCCGGTCACATACCGTGCGTTCGGTATTTTGATCTGAGTTCTCCGTGCATGAATTTACCGTTCGTTTATTTAAAAAGTGTACTCGGTGCAGGCTCATTCACGTTCGTTTAATAAAATTTTGAGCCCTCTGATCATTGACAACCTCTGATACAGCATTTAATTGTGCTGTGCGCTCGCTGGTCATGTGATTACGGCTCCGCTCTGCACGCTCTGCTCTTTGAGCAAAATGCCGAACGCAAGGATAACCTAAATTATTTTTCACCGTACTGCGCATGACAAGTCGGCACGCATCGAAAAAGCTTGCAAGCTTCCACTTCGGAGTCGGCGTGCATGCCAGCACGGAATTAAATTGAGGATGCCAACGTTAAACAACATTTTCCTAGCTTGCGTGCCGAAGTGCCACTTCGCTACCACATTGATTGAGGATGGGCCTTTAGTGTTTCAAACTCTTGCTTCTACTACTCCGAGTACTCCACTCTAACTCTTGACTCCACTTTTCCGATCTCTCTCAACAACCGCAAGCCTGCACCGAGTCTTAGTGCACCTGCGCCCCACCACCAGCTGTTTTTTTCTTTGGAAAAATTTGAAAGATCTCAAGGGATATCTATTCCACGATTCCACGACAACATAAAAGTTACTTTTTTCCATCAGAATTCAGGTAAGCTTTATTCACTCCATAACAATTTTTATAAAATACCGATGGATGATTCTTGAAAAACGTATTGAATTATTAAAACGATTGTAGTTAAAAAAAAATCCACCATGAATAATTAATAATTATTCATTTCAACAAATCACCAGTAAGAATTTTTTATGATGCATTTGCTATGAAGTCTCTATTCCTCTAGTCATCATGTCATTGCCAATTAATTTCCCAAAAGTAGTAATCTGACTGACAACTTGTGAGGCGAATTAAAGATTTTAAAAATATGGGAATTTGTCGATGCTACCAATAGTAAAGCACTTCATTCACTTCCAACTTCTGTATCTTGGATCTGGTCATAACTATTCTGTACCATCATAGACAAGTAAGAAAAATTAGCTTATTCACACATGTTTGCCTAGAAAAGATAGGATTGTTCCTTAACTATGTATTCCTGCACCATTGTTCATAGTCTCTTAACTTTTGGTTAAAAATAGGAGTCTTTGAAAATTTTAAACAACATAAAAGCTACAACAACTGCAGTATATTATAATTATAGCTAGAGTAGTTGAATTTGTTAACCGAGAGCAAAAGTAGGCCTTTTGAACACAGGATAAATTTCTTCAATTCAACTTAAGTTTTCTTCTATTCATAAACTTTGTGGACAATCTCTATTACCAATAAGTTTAGATTATTTATTTATTTCTTTATTCAGCAATAGTTCACAATGTACACAAATATACTACAACTTAATGTGGATAAATAAATAAAAGAAACCCTTACAGCAATAACCCTTGCTGTAGTAAATCCTCCCTATATCTTCCTACCTCTGCTAAATAAGATAGGCACTATAGTACTTAGAACACTGTGTGAGAACCTGGTTCAAGTCAACAGCTATAAACCATTACAATATATAAAAAAAAAAAAATTATAATAATCATAACAGTGGCGGCTCGTGACAATCCAAACTGGTGAGGCCCATGGCCCATCAAGTTAACCCAAACAAACCCAAACAAAATTTTCAAGTGTTACGCCCAAATTTTGACCCAAAATTTCATCAAAAGAACATCTCGGATATTTTTTTTTGTATATTTCTAATGAAAATTATCATTTCTCACAGTTGCAAAACAACGGCAGTAGGTACATAATTCTTATTTTAATACAAATATTGAGTTTCAAATTAACAAAATAAATTCCAAAAAACAGTTTTTTAACCCGCAACAGACCAAAATAAAAAGTATGAGCCAATTAACCAATTAAATACTTGTCGCAGCAGCAAGCGATGCAAGGTTTCCTATTAACAAGCCCAAAATTGTGCGCCTCAATGCCTATAAAAATTCGCTATCGTCTCACCTACAGCCAAAGCGTTGTGGTGGGGAGTGCCGTGGCATCGCTTCGGCGTTCTGTGACGCACATGAGGCCAAAATTTTTGGGATTGCTATTTTATTTTAATGCTGTCCGGCAACGATTTGAGCGCCTATATAGATAAATAGGTAGAAGCGCGCGCTAAATTCAAGAAATAGTATTATATTTTAATGAAAATTCGATGTTTTGATTCTTTTAATGATTGAAAATAGTTGAAAAACGTTAAATATTTAATAAATATTATTTCAAAATTTTACATCATTATTGTAATTTTTACATGTGAGGCCCGGCCTCAGTTGCTTTATACGACGAGCCGCCACTGAATCAAAAAAACAACAGTCCAGTAATACTTATAACACTTTCAATCCTTAATAAACATTCTACTACACCTCGACGCGATATGAGTTTTCCTGCAAACATCTGGTTTACAACTGCCAATGAATCATTAGATGTATGGCATATGGCGCCGTCTTGTTGAAACCATGTCGCACGATTATATGTTGCAGTTGTGGAAAGGAAAAGTTTAGTAACATACACTCACGAACAGAAAATTCAGGACAACCAAAATTTAGATCAAATTTGATGTAGGATAACTTTTTCTTCCATAATCCGATTTCAATCTTTTTTTTTTTCATAATGTAGATAATTGTTTCGGTTTTAAATAATTTTATTCAATTTTCGAAAATACAGTTTACATGTTGGAATATACCAGGAAAATAAAAAAGTATATTTTTTCTCTTAACTTTGTAACACTCTGTAGAGTAATTTTGCGAAGTAAGCTACACTGGATATGCTTTTCTGCAGAGTTTGATCCATTTTCAACATTTTGCTGTTTTATTGGTCTTGGTATCTTTATCGGTTTGGGAGATATGAATTTTTGAAATAAACATTACACTTATTGATCAAGACTAAATTTTTGAAACAAACCTCACACTTTTTGATCAAGTCTATTTTTAATTGAAGCATGAAAGTAGGGGTTTTAAAAATTAGTACCTCATGTTACCTCCTCATGCTCTTATAACAGCTACTAAACGTCGATTCATTCCTCTAATCAGGTTTTGGATATCCTGTTGTGGAATAGCAGCCAATTCTTCTTCCAGAGCATTTCGGAGCTGTTGGAGGTGAACAACTGTCCTCGGCGTTTCCTAATTCGTCTACCTAACATGTCCTATACATGTTCTATGAGATTAATTTCAGGACTACGAGCGGGCCAGCGCATAACGTTTATTCCAACCTCTTCTAAATGTTGGGCCACTATTCTGGCAGTATGTGGACTGGCATTGTCATGCATGAAAACGAATTCGTTACCGATAAATTGTGCAAAAACAACATGTTCTCCCAGAATTTCGTCAATGTACCTCGGGGCAGTTAAAGTTCCTTGGTCAATAAAAACAAGTTCTGTTCGAGCGTCAAACGAAACACCGCCCCATATCACCTTCAAGAGTGGAGGCAAGTTCTATTTTCAGACGAGTTTCGATTTTGCCTGAGGTTTCCTGATGGACGAGAAAGGGTATAGAGACGACAAGGAGAGAGATTCGCCCAAGGTACTTTTAGCGAAAGGGTTAGCTTTGGTGGTGGATCGATAATGGTATGGGGCGGTATTTCGTTCGAACGGAACTTGTTTTTATTGACCGAGGAACTTTAACTGGCCCGAGGTACATTGACGAAATTCTGGGAGAACATGTTGTTTCTGCACAATTTATCGGCAACGAATTTGTTTTCATGCATGACAATGCCCATCCACATACTGCCAGAATAGTGGCCCAGTATTTAGAAGAGGTTGGAATAAACGTTATGCGCTGGCGCGCTCGTAGTCCTGACATTAATCTCATAGAACATGTATGGGACATGTTAGGTAGATGCATTAGGGAACGCCGAGGACAGTTGTTCACCTCCAACAGCTCCGAAATGCTTTGGAAGAAGAATGGGCTGCTATTCCACAACAGGAAATCCAAAACCTGATTAGAGGAATGAATCGACGTTTAGTAGCTGTTATAAGTGCAAGAGGAGGTAACACGAGGTACTAATTTTTAAAACCCCTACTTTCATGCTTCAATTAAAAATAGACTTGATCAAAAAGTGTAAGGTTTATTTCAAAAATTTAGAGTTGATCAAAAAGTGTAATGTTTATTTCAAAAATTCATATCTTCCAAACCGATAAAGATATCAAGACCAATAAAACAGCAAAATGTTGAAAATGGATCAAACTCTGCAGAAAAGCATATCCAGTGTAGCTTACTTCGCAAAATTACTCTACAGAGTGTTACAAAGTTAAGAGAAAAAATATACTTGTTTATTTTCCTGGTATATTCCATGTAAACTGTATTTTTGAAAATTGAATAAAATTAATTAAAACCGAAACAATTATCTACATTATGAAAAAAAAAGATTGAAATCGGACTATGGAAGAAAAAGTTATCCTACATCAAATTTGATCTAAATTTTGGTTGTCCCGAATTTTATGTCGGTGAGTGTAGTTGTGTATTGGTCGGAATCATGTTGTACGAAAATTCTGACATCCCACCTCCCTTGCACCGCTCTCTCTTACCGTTTCAACGTAATAATATTTTTAAAATCCTACATTTTTCTGGCCCACCCTGTATATGCTACAGTATTGACTGGAATCTGTGTTCAAGTAATAATTACTCTAATAATAACTCTAACGAAGCGTTCGCTAGTTTGTACCCAAGTTATACAGCAAAAAATTAATTAAGTATTTGCCCAAAAAAAACATCAGTGTCGACAAATATTCAATTGGTTCAACTCTGAGCTGGAAAGTTAATTGTACATAACAATCGACTCTATAAGAAGTACAGCATTTAATTCTGTCAAATGTGGAAAACTTCTGGTCATTTATAACCTTAGTTTATAACATCTTTGAAGAGAGACGCAGGCTTCAGATCAGATGCACTTTAACAATATCCGTTCTTCGAACCGACAACAGATTGTTACTCTGACCACAAGGATGGTGAGATCAATAAAACTACTTAGTCCCTTTTGGAACATACCTTTCCGATCATCTCTTCACGGTCGAGGAAATCAAATCAAATCAAAAAATGCTTTATTGTACAAAAAGGCCTTAAGACCCTTATTTACAAAGCTAAAATGGAAATAATACAAAAATAATACAAAAACATTATGAGGAGACACTGAAACGTTACATGTTAAAATACTAAAAACTAACAAAGACAATCAAGATAAAAACATTAAAAAACCAAAAACTGCTACTCAAAATGTCATTCACAAATCCAGTCAAGCTCTTATATATGGTACATACAAATAAAAAAATAAAAAAGCGAACAAACAATAATAAAGATCAAAGTATTTTTCAAGTTACAGATAGACACCATAATTCATACAATCGCCAAAGCTAGAGCCTATCGCCATAAAATTCTTCCAGAGAGTAATATGCTTTTAAGAGCAGAAGCTGTTTCACCTTTCTAGCAAAAAGGATACTATTGTCTAGATATTTGATCTCAAGAGGCAGGTGGTTATACATCTTTTTCCCCTCATATATTATTGAGTTTTTTGTTAATGCACTCCTTGGGATGCACAGACTCAGATTGTTGCTGTTTAACCTAGTTGTCCTGGTGTCATTATTGTCATCTGATCCTTTATATTTTTTGTGAACCATGCCCACCGTCAGTAAAATAAAAATACAGGTCAATGTAAGAATTCCCTCCCGGATGAACAGAGGCCGGCAGTGTTCCCTAGAGCCGACTCCACACAATAAACGAACAGCCCGTTTTTGTAAAACAAAAACTGAATTAACTATTTGACCACTGGCAAAACCCCAAAATTCAATGCCATATCTGAGACGTGACTCAACAAGTGCAAAGTACACACCCCTTGCAATGTCATGACCCAACTCATTACGAACCGTCCTTAACGCATAACATGCAGGAGCTAGTTTTTTTCGCAAGTCATTGATATGCTCACCAAACTTCAACTTAGAGTCTATAGCTAAGCCCAAGAACCTCGAACAATCCCTATTAGCAAGTGGCTCATCATTTAAAGTTA